CAAATAAATGCAGCTTTAGTGAGCTTAATTGACTTTTTTACTGACCTCAAACTCTTGATTGGTAGTGTACAGTATATAGTTTTTAAGTAGCCTACAGAAATGGTTTATAAGCATGTACTGACCTTTAGTAAGAAATTCTATTAGAAAACAACTGATGGATGCTATTTTTTTTAACCCAAAGGAAGGCACCACTGGTTTTCTGTGACCTAAAATGCATTGACAAATAAACAAGCTAACAAAAAAATAACAACACATTATTAAATGATCATTTTAAATAATGTTATATCAATATCTATTTCATTATTTGGTCTACAGACCTCTTGCTATGACAAAATATATATGTGCCAAGTCTGCATTTTGGATCAGTAACCAGTGCTTGAATTAAAAATATTGACTTATATAACTATTCATGATTTCTAAAATACCACTATAAACAGAAAACGGTCTACCTCAGACACACCCTACAGTATGTGCCGGAACTATCTTTGCCAGGTGCTTCATGGCATACTGAATGACTAATAATCTTTCAGTTTCAACAGTTCCTATCTAAATGATTCTAACATTCTTATTTATTTTGTGCATTAACCTTCCCTTGATCCTCCACCTTTTTGATGGCTGCCTGAATTTTGGCCTGGTTGCCCAGAAGCTGACGGGGCTTGACCGGTCGAAGATCTTCATCCAGCTCCAGCAAGACTGGTACTCCTGTGGGCAGCGTTACATTCACAATTTCTGTTTCTGATATATCTGTTGAGAAAGACAGCAAAAGTGTGTAATTAGAATATTGAAATTGTTAAGGTTTATGTTTTAATATCAACTTCATTAGTACTACTGTCCACTTTCTATGCTTTATTATTGATAATATTTAAAAAGGAGCTCTTTATTATATTAAAGAAAACGGACTGAAGAGCAAATCAGTCTTTTATAGCCTGTATCTGGTATTATTGTTTGTTTGTTTTATAAAACAAAAAAAAGGAAGTTATGTTTAGAACATATTGTAGATGGTACATTACCATTTAAAAGTTTGGGATCTGTAACTTTTTTAAAAATGTTTTTGAAATAAGTCTCGCCAAGGCAGAATTTAATTTATTAAAAATACAGTAAAAACAGTAATATTGAGAAATTTTATTACAATTTGAAATAACGGTTTACTATTTTAATATATTTTAAAATGGAACCTATTTCTGTGACGCAAAGCTGCATTTTCAGCATCATTACTCCAGTCTTGAGTGTCACATGATCCTTCAGAAATCATTCTAATATGCTGATTTGTTGCTCAAGAAACATTTCTTATATTTTTATCAATGTTGAAAACAATTGTGCTGCTTAATATTTTTTGGAAACAATTTTTCTTAGGATTCTTTGAGGAATATTGAGCATTAATCTTAAAATACTACTTTTGCAACATTATACATGTCACTTTTGACCATCTTCCAAGTGCTTGAAGGTCGAGAGTTATAGTCGATAGTACCCATGTAATTTTAACTCAGCGGCCTTTAGAAGATTTATATAACTTAGTTTTAATGGGTTTGAGAAGATATTTTTAAAAAGATATTTTAAAGAATGTTTCAGCTGTTTTTATTCATAAAATGAAACTCAGTGGGGTTCAAAACAACACTTCTCAACAAGCATTGACTTTCATTGTATGGACCAAAAATAAACAACAACAACAACAACACAAATAATTAAACCAATAATTAAATAAAAATAATAATCTTTTTTTGCATTCCACAGAAGAAAAAAGTCAGCAAACGACATGAAGGTGAGTAAATGAAGACAGAATTTTCACAGAAAATTGAAAACAATAAATATATTTCACCTTCCAAATGTTTAAGCAATGCCCTGCAGCTGTTGCCATGTGCAGAGATGAGGACCGTTTGGCCACTCTCGATCACCGGTACAATGACATCATTCCAGTAAGGAAGAAGTCTGTCCAACACTTCCTTTAGACTTTCTGTTTTGGGCAGTTCCTCTTTCGGAACGTCGCACGTACTGTATCGGCGGTCAGTGTAAATTTCCGCATAATAGGGATGTGTCTCATCAATGGGGGGTGGTGTGATGTCATAGCTACGCCTCCAGTTTAACCTGTTCCTCACCATGGTTCAACGCCATCTCAGCGCGATTGAGGACGATCAGGGCACCGTAATGCCGCTCGTTTAACCTCCAGGATTTGGTGACTGGGACCCACTCTTGTCCCATGGCCTCCAGCACCAACCAGGCCATCTGGATGGAATGACTCAGTATAGAGGTAAAAACCTGGTCGAATTGGTAGCCCTGCTCTTTCAGAAGCCTGCCGCACTCTTGGGCTTCCACCACCCCGTTCTCACTCAGTTTCTGATCAACCCAGCTGCAGAAGCGGTTCTCTTTGTTCCAGGCCCCATCCCCATGTCGGAGAAGGAAGAGTTTGCATTTGGACATCCTGAAGAAGCAGTACGAAAGCCTGAAAGAGATGCATATGCAGATATATATACTATATAGCAAATATTTCAACTGCTTATATAACAGCTTTAATTGCTTATATAATTGCAAAATGTAAACTACATTATCACCTCTAAGGATATTATAAACATTAACCTCATGATTTTCTGTAAAGCTGCTTTGCACACACATGTATGTATGTATGTATGTGTGTATATATATATATATATATAGTCATTTATCAGATGCATTTATCCAAAGCGTAATTATTATTATATTATTATATATTTCATGTCCCCCCCACTTTTCAAAGTCATGCTTGTGTCCCCCCACTTTCAAATTCGTTTGTTATGATTTTTTTAACCGCACGCCGTCATCGCCACGGAAGGAGCAGGACCGAGCAGGGCACAGACGCACGCGTCTCCACGTCCAGGAACGTCGCGTGCACACTCTAAAAATACTCTCTGAAAGTTCTAATGAGCGGGTATCGCGGTTGCGGCAGTCAGCGATGAAACGCCAGAAGCAGCAACAGATGACTTTAATGTCATCATGGTTGAAAAGAAAGAAAGAAAGAAAGGAGATGCGAGTTGGTTGATTCAGTAAATTAGCTCAGGTCAGGATAATCATATTTTCTGTCTACACCGGTTAATGTTAGCCTACGTTGACTGAGATAACGTTAACATACACTGTTGCTAGGTAACAGGCTGTTGTTAGCTAAATATTTAATGTAGAACAGTGGTTCCCAAACTTGGGTACGTGAGGCGACAGAAGGGGTACGCGAACAACATGCTGAGTTTTGCAGTGTTTCGTGAACGAATCGTTTGCGAAAGTCACTGATTCAATGACTCATTTATAAATACATACACTTGGTTAATTACTGAATGAACAAATGACTCGATGACTCACGCATTAAGACAGTGACTTACCGCCACCTACTGGCTGTTTTAGTATTTAAAATAATCACTTTTCACTTTTTTTTTTATCATCATTGCATATTAATCTATTGAACATTTTTTTTTTTTTTAAAAATCAATATTCTATTTATAAAGATAAGAAATGCTTTGGAAAGTCAATTTAGGGGGCAAATATTGTCCTTTAATGGAAAAGTTGCAGTCTAAGTGGAAGAGAGGGGGTACGCAGATATGCCTCAGGAGGTAACTGTTACTCCACTCTAAAAAGTCTGGGATCCACTGATGTAGAACATTCTGTCCTGTGCAACAAGTGACTTATTTTATATTTTCAGGTACGGTGGTTAGTTTGAAATAAAAGTTTGTTTAACAGTGGAAATTGAGTCTCACATTATTTAAACATTATTCAAAACATTAATGGTGAACATTTTCGACTTTATAAAATTATTCTCTCAAGTCTTGGCGATCGGCTTCTATTAAACAATAAAGAAAGTAAGACATCTTTTTCTTATACATAGTTTAGTAGCCTACTATTCTTTTTGCCAGAATTGATCATTAATCAACTTAATTATTTCCTGGATGTTGTATCACCATAGTCCCTAAATGTATGTACATGCAGGAAATGGGATTCAAATCGAAAACATTTTCCCCCACTTCTCAAACCAAAGTTACACTCTTGATGGTACACATTATATTATCATTACTAAGTTGTTTAATATTCAGTCCACATGCATGAAGTGTAAAACGAGAATGTCATAACCTTACGAAAAAAGAAAACACGCAAAAATCGCGGTTGCTGCGGTTCTTGCATTACTCTGCGGTTTGCTCATCAATAGCGCGGTATTGCGGTTATCGCAACAGCCCTACCGTGTATGCACAAAATATCCTTATCTATATCGAATAACCATAAATCTAAGTGAAGATTACATTAGATATGCCCATTGAAAATGACTATGAATCGCTACGTGCTCACCTTCAGATTAAAAACCGCCCAGCTCAGAGCAGCAGCAGCTCTGCAACTGGAACTATCACAGGTACAGCAGCATCTTCTTCTTCTTTTAGGATTTAATGGCGGTTGGCAAACCAACTTAAAAGGTGCATTCCCGCCACCTACTGGAAAGGAGTGTGAAGCGCACAATGAATAGGAACTTTAGAAACAAGAGCTACCTTAAAAAAAAAAATAATAAAAGATACAGCAGCATCAACAAACGCGCAACAGTTTGCTTGAGTGACACTTCTTTCAGCCAATCAGCTACGCGATTCTCCACAAGTAGGCGTATTTAAGCGTACAGTGGCGCGTTATTTTGAGGTTGTTAACGTCAGTTCCATTTCTTTTTTACGTGAATGAATTGAGCCGTAGTTCTATTTAATAAAGTAGTAATTTTATACTGGATTACAACCGAATTAATCTTATTTATCAGGTAAGCCCAGTTACTTAATTTAAGTAGTTTTAATAGTTGTTTATCAGACTCTAATCATGTGGGAAAGTGGTATTTGCACCCAAAAAACTGAGAGAGCAATGCCAGCAAGAAAACTTGGAATTACTGGTGAAAACAGTGATAGCTTTATTGTTCCTCAATATTCACACACCTGATCACATATAATATTATTACAATATAAGCATTAATATATAACGACAAATGCAATTATATAGTAATCATATAGTAACATAAATAAATGTTATATATGTGTCATAAAGCACATAATGTTTCAATATTTTAACTGATAAATGTGGTTAATAGCACAGCTTTTTGAATTTCTCATACAATTGTTTTTCATTCATACAGCTGTTTATGCAATAAAACAAACAAACAAACAACAACAATTAAATAGCAGCTAAATATGTGTATGTTTAAATAGCTTTCACATTGGATTTTAATTTTTGAAATAACAAATTTTAAATAATTAATTGACCAGTTGGTCCTGCAAACAGCTTCTTCCTGCCCTCTATGCCAGACATAGCATCCACATTTTTACGCCAGTCGGTCACCTCTTCTTTCTGTGCGAATTACAAGTAAATGCATATTTTGATAAACGTATTACTTGTATTTAACACAATGTCATGTTTTCTTGAGTTAAAGAGAGTATATTAAACGAATAGTTCACCCAGAAATGAAATATTGCTGAAAATGAACTCAGCCTCAGGCTATTCAAGATTTTGTTTCTTCATGGGAACAGATTTGGAGAAATGTAGCATTGCATCACTTGCTCACCAATGGATCCTCTGCAGTGAATGGGTGCCGTCAGAATGAGAGTCCAAACAGCTGATAAAAACATCACAATAATCCACAAAAAATCCACACGACTCCAGTCCATCAAAAAGTGAAAAGCTCTGTGTTTGTAAGAAACAAATCCATCACTGAGGTGTTTCAACTTTAAATTGTCACTTCTGGACAAAATACAAAATATGAGAATATGTTATTTGATTAGAACTGTTTTTGCTTGTAAATGGTGCTTGATCTATGCATATTTCTTCAGACGAGACGACGTTTTCACTGGAGAAAGCAATATTATGGTTAGATAGAGGACTCATATTTTAGCTGGAAGTTAAAAATGTCTTAATGGTGAATTCATTTATTACAAACATGCAGCTTTTTGCTTTACAACAATAATAACAATGTTAACTTATGGACTGGAATTGTGTGGATTATTGTGATGTTTTTATCAGCTGTTTGGACTCTCGTTCTGACGGCACCCATTCACTGCAGAGGATCCAGTGGTGAGCAAGTGATGCAACACTAAATTTCTCCAAATCTGTTCTGATGAAGAAACAATCTCATCTACATCTTAGATGGCCTGAGGGTGAGTACATTTTCAGCAAATTTTCATTTTTTGGTAAACTATTCTTTTAAAAATTTAAAGCAGCACTATGTAACTTTTGGCGCTCTAGCGGTTAATAAACAGAACTGCACACATCCCGCGGAAGAACATTCCAACTGGAGCTACTTCTATAAGTTTATGTCTATTGGCGATTCACGCAGGTATGTGTTACTCCGCAGCAGTGACGACCTGACCAGGCTACAATAGTCCAAATATAAGTACTTATTATAAGTGTACCGTAGTGATTCGGAATAAGACAAAAACGCGGTTTGGAAGATGAATTCATGATGTACTCGCTCATTATATACATTTTGCAAATTTTGAACACAGAAAAAGTTACATAGTGCTGCTTTAATACATTTGTTAATAAATAAAACGATAAATTAAGAAAAGAATACATACAAATTTTATTAAAATAAAAGTCATTTAAAATAATTTTATATGAATTATTTCCTATTATTGACTGAATAAACAAACAAACAACAAAACAAAAAAAATTGCAAATATTATTTAATGAATTTAATACTGAAAAATTAAAGCTCTAAATCCATAAAGTCTGAGAATGATATTCATGTCAAAGTACTGAGATGTGTTGATTCTTACCTTTTCCTCCTCCTTCTTCACTGTCTTGAGGTTAGCTTTAAAGTCAATGGATTCCTTGTGTTTGGCACCTAGCAGAGCCCCCAGCATGGCATCAGCAGACACCCTCACTCTCTTCAGGGCAGGTCTCTTCATTTTACCCTTCAGCTCAAAGATTTTGTGGCTTAAATCTGCAATCTATAGCAGAAGCATCAGTCAGGGCAATTAAAATGAATGCATCAATTAATTAATGCATCAATAATGGCATTTTTAAAGCAAAAAAAATGTACCTCCTTTTCATTTTTGACAACTTTAGATTCAATGTCATACCGTTCCTCATCAACCACATCAATTTTTTGATGGAGTTCTTTGCACAGATTCTGTAAACAGAGCAATGGCACGTAAGAAAGAATAGTTTAAAAATAATTCTGACAAAAGGCCAAAGAATAACAACCTGTATGTCCTGTACGGACAGTCCAGACAGTTTGAGAGGAGGAACTCTCTCACTGAGCGTTTGCTCTCTGTCAGTCTTTTTCTGTTCCTTTTCCTCTGCCAGCAGTGTGCTGGCCTTCTTCAGTATTTTGGTCTGCAATGCGTTACAATTGCAGAAGAACCATGGCCATGTAATATTCATATGTAGATCATGGTGAGTTGTTCATTAAAATGGTTAATTAAAAAAATGTTATACAAAAAAATAAGTCAAGATCATTTCAGAAACACAAAAACCGACGAGATGCAGAGATCTTGGGCTTTTTCTGAAGGAAAGAGCCAATAATGTGACTATCACAAATGCTGCAGTGTTCAATTTGATATGAAAATATAAAATGTACTTGTAAAGTATGTTTCAAATATTATTAAATACAGTGTTTAAATGTAAGTTACTCACCGGTCTGACACAGATAGGGCCAGAAATAAAAACACACATTTAATGCATGAATAGATTTATAATTTTTATAATATAATAAATCATTTATTATTTCAATAATATAATATTTATAAATGTTTTGAAAATACTTACACAGATTCAGACATTTTAGTGCCTTTGTTTTTTTGTGTTTTTGTTTGTTTGTTTGTGTTTGTTTTTTCCTGGAGACTTGCAAATGACAAAATATTTCTTAAAAAAATACTAGACTTGTGTTCAAGTGTAGTATTACAAAAAACCTTAAACAATATTTAAGTAGACTTTCTAAAAACAGCAAAAGTGCTTAGTGTAGCCTTACATGCTTTTACAGTACATATTTAAATGTAAGATATTTAATGTTTTTAAATTCTTTGGTAATGTCAATAAAAGGATGCAAGTTAAGAAGCTACACAAAAATATATAACTAATACGCATGTATATATAAAATATATTACTAATACGCATGAATAGCAGTTGTTATAACCTGAAGGTCCTTACCTCTCAGATGATGGAAGTATGACTGTTTTGGCCAAAGGTTAGAAACTAAAGCAGATTTATAGATTCTGAAGCACTCGTGAGAGGCTCACTAAAATAGACTACTGTCCACACCATTATCACTGCCAAATGCTTCACATCTCAGGCTGCAGAGTGACGGGGCACCTGGTGCTCAAGTATACTTTATGTTCTCTAGACTAAGGGTGAGTCCAACAATACTCCAGCATTAATGAGACTGTAATGTCATTTGTATGTGCTAATTTAATCTGAACTGCAATTTTTTAGAACTGGAACTGGAAGTTTCATGTACTATTGTTCTTTTTGGGATTGTTTTTTATTGGTTATACAGTTTGTACTGTATATCCTGGGAAAAGTATACAATTGCCACATATCTAATTTCTTTACAAGAAGGTATTAATAATATCATATCCTATTTAAAAGGGAAATTAAAAAAATCTGTGAAGACATTGTGTTGGAATATTGAATGATATTTTAATATTTTCATAAAACCTTAACTAATTCCGATCTAAAATAACAGATATTTTCACAACCATCATTAAGGGACCTTGAACATAAAGGAATTGTTGACTGACATGCTGAGTTTCTTCTTCTTCTTGATATGTTGTTGCAGGCTGCCATCTGTAGGGCAAAAGAAGAACTGCAGCTGTAGCAAACATGACAAGATGTGAAGAAAACGCGTTTAATTTGAAATACTACATTTTACGAGTGTTAAAACATTTAATTTAGATTTACTGTTACATCAGATTCTATTTACAGCATTCAATATAGGTCAGTATGTACCTGGTAAGACTTTACAATAAAGTTTCAATTGTTAATATTAGTTAATGGCATCAGTTAACAAGATCTAACAAAGCAAAAGTATGCATTTATTAATCTTAGTTAATGTTTATTTCAACACTGATGCATTATTAAAATCAAAAGTTCTAAAGTCAAAAGTAAAATCAGTCAAGAGTGTGTTAATATTATTTAATGCATAATGGAGCTAACATGAACTAGCAATGAATAGTTTTATTTTTATTAACTAGTTTACAACTGAGACGAATAAATACTTTTACAAATGTATTGCTCATAGTTAGTTAATGCATGAACTAATCCTTACTAATGAGAACTTATTGTAAAGTGTTACCCTGCATTCTGTGAAACTGATCAGTTTGCCTTAACTAAAAGTAAGAAAATACATTATAGTGAAACATTAAAGCTTATTTTATATTTTGAAAATGTACTTTCTGAAATGCAAAAACAGAGATTACATCTTTGACGTCATCTTTGGTTTGGTACTGCTGCCATCTGCAAGACATTTAAAGAGATTTTGCACAAGACATGATGTTGTTTTTGCTAGTTTCTATCTAACCAACTTATCATATGCTTAGAGGGATGATGTGCAATAAAATGTTAATTAAAATGATAAAACAAAATAAATACATTGAGGTCCTCTATGACTGTTAGTATTTACCTTTTACTGTCCAGCATCAAACAGCTTCTTCCTGCCCTCCATTCCAGACATGGCCTCTACGTTTTTACGCCAGTCAGTCACCTCTTCTTTCTGTGGAAGGTAAATATAGATATATAGATATATTTTTGAATATTAGCACTTCTGTCTATTTAAAGTATTTTATATTGTCTTACCTTCTCCTCTTCTTTCTTCACTGTCTTCAGGTTAGCTTTGAAGTCAATGGACTGTGTGTGTCTGGAGCCCAGAAGGACACATGTGTTCAGCGGACAGTTTGACTCTCTTCAGGTTAGGCCTCTTCAGCTTGCTCTTCATCTCATAGATCTTCTGATTAATTTCCTGTATCTTTATCAACACAGACCACACATGTTGCACTTTAACACAATCCTTTGACCGAGCTGCCATGCCAACTGTTCCATTCAATGCTCACAGAACACAATAGCTTCATCAATGAGAACTGTTTACCAAATGCTGGTGTTTGCTACTCCGTTTTTCATACCTCCTTGTCATTTTTGGACACCTTAATGGCAATGTCATAACGTTCCTCATCAATCACGTCAATCTTGTGATGCAAATCCCTGCAAGGATGCTACACACAAAGTAGAGTCTTAACAAAATAGTTGAAAATGCATGTGTTACTACATTATTTAAAACACGGCAACCAAACACGAGTTAATGATTCCTTTAAAGATGCTGTATGTAAGTTTTTGACTCTACTAAAGCATAAACATACCATAATATGTTTGCAGATATTTAAGAAACATGCTACGTTAACATACTTGTTTATCTGAAAAACAATGCTACAGTCACTTATTCTTCTTTGAAAATGTGCGTTCCGGGCCGGAATGTCGGTCTCTCTTTTGGTTTGTGAAACCCGCCCACTGCCAGTTTACCCAATTGTATTTCGTTCCTGTTGGTGTCCTCAATCTGGCAACCTGCAGAGCAGGAGGGGCCGGGTGAAAAAAACCCTCTCCAATATTTTGCATTTGGACTGCAATACCTAGTTCAACCACTCAGTGTCAATCCTACATACAGCACCTTTAAGTTTTATAAATGGAGTTCAATGATTTATTGAAATAGTTTAGGCTAATTGTACCTGTAATTCCTGTACTGACAGGCTGGAAAGATGGAGCGGAGGAACTCTCTCACTGAGCACTTGCTCCCTCTCCTTTTCTTTATCCTGCTTCTCTACTTTCAGCATTGCGAGTGCTGTATTTAGCAGCCTTATCTTCAGGATGACAGGTGCATTGTTGTCATATCAAAAGAAAAATGTAATACTTTTGTTATCAAATGTAGAATCTCTCTACTTGAGCACACAAAGTATCCAGCAAACTGTGTGTGTATAACTGTGGTCAGTAGGTGGCGCTCACCTTCAAGCCCAGCCGATGAGCTGAAGTGATCTTGGGTTTTTGCTTTGGTTGGGGGCTTCGGTTGAAGCAGCCATTGGAGCATAGATAGTAGAGAATGTTGATAGAGACATGACCAATATCATAATTCATAAATAGCTGGTTATTACTGATGAAGGTGAAGATACTCACGCGTCAGACATCCTTCTGTAGTCCTCACTTATCTGTGAAATAACTGTAAACTGTAAAATAACATCTGTACTGTGAATCAGTAATTAGAGTATTTAAGATAACAAGCATTTGAACCATATGCAGTGCTATTTTAGTGTTATTTATATAACCTACTTTTATTTAGAAGTATTTTGAATTATCTTTCATTTTTAAATTTTTAGTTTCATTTTCATTTTATTTTTTTATCTTTCATTTATATTACATTTTTTAATTTGTAATTTTATATTTATTTAGATCTTATTAATTTCTTATTTTATTTCAACTTTATTTCAATTAATTAAAATGATTTTTAATAGTTTTAGTTTTAGTTAAAAATAACAACACACTGTTGTCTGGTATGGCATAATGACCTGACAAAGAAAACTAGAGTTTTATTTTAAATATAAAGTCACTTAAAGACAATGTTGGAACCATATGATGTCCTGTTGCAAGTCACAATTATCACTTTTCAAATGCATTAGACATGGTAAGCTGACTACTATATGCAAACATATTTAATCATATTTAATATTTAAATGTTAGGCAACTTTTGTAAGAATGAGTTACATTTCCAGAAAAAAAAAAAAGTTTTATAGCACAGCAAAATAAATAAAAAATATGAAATAAAAAAAATTCTAACTCAAAACAGAACCTAATTTTCTTCCCACTTTCCATATTTAATATAATGTGTATCATTTATGCAATCTTTGAAGGATCATGCATAAATTAATACTAATTCGTCAATGACATTGGTAATCGGACTCTTTAATCCATCTATTTGACCTATTAGTCCTCACACAGCAGTATGAGTTCTGTGCATAGCGTCCATGAGTTTTAGCATAGATGAAAATCTTCCTGGATTGTCACCAACTTGAGAGACATCTGAACAGATAGCAATGCAACTGTGCCCAATTTCTTACCAGTTTTGGATAAATAAGAAATTTATATTTTAACATATACCATCACAGCTAATAATAATATAATCCATAACCCCTTTCTAACAACTGAATAATGATGCATTTGCCATCAAAAACTAAGCAAACACATAGCTGCTAGCCTCTTATGACCACTGAAAAAGACATACCTGCTAGAAGAAGAAAAGACAGGAGTGCGAGTTAACTGGCTGACCGAGGAAAAAAGAAAATACTTGGATTTATAGTTTCAGCACGCATGGGAACGTCTCACTAAAACAGACCCCTAAAATAGACCCCACTTCTGACATTTACTGTTCACACAGTAAACTAGCGTAGTAAAACTTTCATTTGGACAGAGACATGCAGTTATGCAGTATAGACGGGTTTGAATGCCTCTTTTTGTGGCCAAAACCATATTGATGACCAGTTCAAAGGTCTAAAGGTGATGCTAGCCATAACAGAAATACATTTGTGTGGAAATGACAGTCTATAAAAGTAAATAAGGCAAACTGGTATAAGCATTTAGCACTTATTATGGTACAACTAATCTGTACTCATATTAAAAACATTATCTATGAAAAACGGAAAGGATAAGATGTCAGACAACAATAAAAAAGAGAGAAAAGAGAGGCAGTGGAAATAACAAATATCAAATTGTTTCCATGTTTATTCCAGTTAATTGCGATATGATGTTATGCCATGACAGCTATCTCATGAACGTGATAATTTCCATGCACATTAAACGACCAATAGCTGGCAGGAGGCGATGTGGTATAAATTATTTCTTGGGTTTAGAGGACAGTGAGCAGGTGGAAGCACTGTTTTGTTGTAATGTGAGCTGCCCTCGTCACACCTCATTCTCCCTGAGAGGTGATACTCCAAGAGATATGTAATGAATTACCACCTGCCATTGGTCCTGGATTTATTTTTAGGCATTATGGCCAGATGATGGGATGCCAAATGCAAGAAGTCCTTGTCTTTAAATGGCTTTGTACACTCTCAGATAAAAAATTACAAAAGCTGTCACTGGGGCGGTACCTTTTAGGTACAAATATATACACTTTAGGTACTAATATGTTCTTTTAAGGTCCCAATATGGACTCGTTAAAGGTAAATCTTTTGAAAAGGTACCGCCCCAGTGACAGCTTTTGCACCTTTTTTTTTTTTCTGAGAGCGTGTGGTGTTCATATGAAAACTGCAATGTGTAGTTGTTGTTTTAAAAAAAAATCATATTATGACACTAATTATATTTTCTGGATGGAAATATAATTATAGCTGGCCCTTTAAGACGTCAAGAAAAACGGATATAATAAAAAATTACATTAAACATGTTTACATGCGCAATTATATTCAAGCTACAGCATTGTGTGTGTGAGTGTGTGTGTGTGTGTAGTCCAGTTACAGTCTTCATCTTTTTTGTGACTTTTATCCATGTGATGAGAAAAAATGTGGGCTGGGACTATTTTTGTCCATCAGGAATTGATTGGATCATTGTATCAATGTTGTTTGCTTATTGTTTCAATCTCATGTGAGTGACAGTTTTCCACCACAAAATAAAAATGTAATTGCGCAATTCTGATATTATATCTCACAATCTGACTTTTTTTCTCAGAATTGTGAGATATAGACTTTTAGAAAAAATGTAAAAAAAGAAGTCATATAACAAAAAATGTCATAGAATTTTTTTTTAAAGGGGTCATATGATGTTGCTAAAAAGAACATTATTTTGTGTATTTGGTGTAATGAAATGTGTTTATGCGGCCTAGATTGAGCGAAGGCCGGCGGCTAGTGTGAGGAACGGCCGGCGGGCTGAGTAAGAGGAGGCCGGTGAGCTTGAGAACAGAGCGGTCGGCGGGCTTGCGGCAACCACATATGACGACCCCGGGCTGGACTCCGCTTCGTAAATTTGAAAAATGTTTCATTTCACAATTCTTACTTTTTTCCTTCAGAACTGCGAGATATAAACTCAGAATTGAAAAAAAAAAAAATAATAAATTGCAATTTTTTTATTCCATGGTGGAAACAACAGAATTGTGAGATGTGAACACAGAATTGTGAGAAAAAAGTCAGAATTGCTTAACATAAGCTCACAATTGTGAGAAAAAATGGCAATTGTAGTTGATTAGAGTGTACAATGGACCCTTTTCACAAGACTGTGATGACGCGTTTCAATGGTCATCAGCATCGTAAATACTCCAAAGTTTTTTTATATTTTTTAGTTTTTTTACATTTAAAAAAAAAATGCATATACATTTATAACACTATACTTTGTATTATATAACCTTTGCATCAAATGACAAATCTAGTTAACACTAATGTGAGGGTGTTTCTAATTCAGTGTCTATGGGAGCGATGGTAAATTTGACATCGTTCTCTCTACTGACTGCCATTATCAGTCTCTCTATATTTTTTCCTTTTTGTGAAAGTCATGAAAACACTATCACGGAGTTTTTCTTTTGCTATTTGAGCAAATGGGAATGCAAAAAATATATTTGTGGTGGTCCCCCATTCACTGCTATAGAAGTTTACACAACTATGATGACGTCTGCTGCTGAGAAACCCGGAAATGTGAAAAAGGTCCATCGCACTATCAAGGTGTCAGGATCATGGGCCTGTTTTGTTATGTTTTGCCCCTGTTTCTGTTCCTGTGTTCCTTTATTTGGTCATGTCCCTGTCCTCGTTTAATTCATTAGTCATTCTGTGCACCTGTGTTTGGTAATTGTCCTGTGTTTCCAGCTCCACCGGGCTCCCTCGTCCCTCCGGTTCCGCCTTGGTCGGGCATTGACCCACCATCGCCTCAGGACTCTGCTCCTCGGGCTGCACCTCGTCGCTCCATCCCACCGGCTCCATTGGGCTCCTTCCTCCCACCAGCTCCACCTTGGTCCTCATTCACTCCGGATCTCCGCCTCGGTCGCCAGAGCCCTCGGCTCCACCCTGGCCCCCCGGATCCTTGGCATCCCTCTGGCTCGTTGCCTCTCCGTCTCCGCCTCGGGCTCCTCCACCACCTGCTCCGCCGCCGTTGGTCGACCCCCTGGAGAAGGTCGACTTGCCCCCTCTCCTTTCTCCTTCATCCCCACTGGTCCCGTCCAGCCCTGAGGGGGCTCCCGTTTCCCAGTCCAGCCAGGAGTGGGCTCTAATCCCCGAGGGCAGCCCTGAGAGCCCGGAGACTCACGAATATATTCCCACCCATCCCTCCCTCTGTTGTATCTACGGTGCGAGGACGCACCTTCCGGGAAGGGGCGAAATGTCAGCCTTTTGGACCCATTTCGCCTCTGTAGTTCTTCCTGTGTTTCCTTTTATGGTATTTTTCCTGTTCTTGTTTAGTTTGATTACTTTATGATTCCATGCACCTGTGTTCCCATGATTGCCCTGTGTTAAAAAACTCTCGTTCTGTGAAATCTCCACCTCTCCTCATTTCCTCGTGCCCGTGCTCCAGTGGATTGTGACAGAAGACCCGACCGAATACAGTTAACTCCGTGTGTCTTCATCCTTGTGCTCTGTGTCTCCCTATTGGATCATTAAAAGACTCTTGTTCTCCTTGTTTTCTCGTGCCCGTGCTCCAGCGTATTGTGACACAAGGTCTGTTAGTCTGACTTTGCAGAAATGGGACTGGCAGGATTTCAGTTTGTCTACTGAAGAGTTTTTTTGTACATTTTAATAACACAAATTAGTGATTTAGTTTGAAAAGCTTTTAAAGTGCATGTATTGTTATTATTTTTAAGTTCCACAAATTTACAAATATCGTTGATTTATGTAAAACAACTGAAGGTATTCCCGGGGTATTAGGGGTGGAGATGGGTGGTTTTAGGGATCAGGGGGTGGAGACGGGTAGGTTTAGGTATATGTAAGGTGGGAGGAGTTGGATCTGGATCCAACCATGCCCCCTGGATCTTGTGCTCTGCAGTAAGGGGCTACTGGGATATTAAGTCCTAAGCTTCAGGCAGTTAGCATTTTTTTAAAGTAAGGGTCCAAATATTTAGTCTTTTTTGATCTGTTTTTATTTTTAAGACAGAAAATGGGCTCAACATCACAGAAACAATCAAGTAGACATCAAGTAAGTTTGAGGCACTGTCTTCTTGTCTAAATAATTTATATATGCAGTTTATTTTTTAACTAAAATAAAATATTAAACTATAATCCTAAGCTATTATTAAAGTAGGATATATGTATTATATGAACTTGCATTGATTTATACATTCAATTTAAGAAGTTTTTGAATTCTGGTGTAGTTGTCACCTGTAAGAAAACAAATAAAATTCAGTGCTTAAAGTCTAGATAAAATAATTGAAGTAAGACATTCTTAACCAAAAGATCATTGAAAAACAAACCATAAAATCTTTTTTAATTCATCCTCTATTGTCCCGCATCAAACAGCTTCTTCCTGCCCTCCATTCCAGACATGGCCTCCACATTCTTTCGCCAGTCAGTCACTTCTTCTTTCTGTGAGAGTAACAGGTGACAACAGGGGTGTGTTAAAATAGCTCAAAAATACATATACATTACCACTCAGAATTGTATTTTTTCCCCCTTAAAATGTCACATGACCTTCTCCTCTTCTTTCTTGACTGTCTTAAGGTTGGCTTTGAAATCCACAGACTCTTTGACCCTGGAGCCCAGAAGAGCACCCAACATGGCATCGGCTGAGATCTTCACCCTCTTCAGTGCAGGTCTCTTCATTTTACCTCTAAGTTCGGTAATCTTGATGTTCAAATCTGCAGTCTGAAGCAGACGCTTGCATTTATTATGGTGGATCAACATAAAGTTAAATCCAGTGTATTTCCATTGAATCTAATAAGATAAAAGGTGACTCCCCTGATGGAGTAGTACCTCCTTTTCATTTTTGGCCACCTTGACGGAGATGTCGTACCTCTCTTCATCTACAACATCAGTCTTTTGATGCAGTTCTCTGTAGAGAGTCTGAAAACAAATGATTGAATCAAAAGGAAACTACAAAATTTTTGTCAATGCTATTTCTAGCAGATGAAGTCACTGAAACTACTTTACATTTTCCAACATTAGTTATGTTGCATACAGATTGTCTTTACTAATAATTAAAAAAATTAATACATATTTAAATTATATATATAGATAATTACATTTATATATTTTCATCTAATTAAAAAATATTATTTTAAAAAGCATCATTTTAAATGAGGTTTACCTGAAGCTCTTGAACAGACAGACAGGACAGCTGTAGAGGTGGCACTCTCTCGCACAATGTGGTCTCTCTCTCCCTCTGCTTCTCCTCTTTTTCATTCACAAGCATAGATGTTGCCTTCTTCAGCAGCTTTGTCTGAAGCAAAACATGTCAGAAGGTATTGGTAAATGCACCATCTTTATTAATTATATCTTCTCTGTAAAACAAAGAGAACCAAATGCCTCGGTTTATTTCTTGTTATATACTTTATAAAATTATTGCACAGTCTATGAAGCGGACCTGATTTATATTTCACTGCTGGTTATGTACTCTCTATATAACTGTGTACGTGAGAAATACAAATCTTGAATCTTGAATACCTTTAAGAACAACCTCCTGGATGCCGAAATCTTAGGTTTGGGTTGCTGCAAGAATCAAACAAATTTTGTTTAAAAAAAAAATTATTTTGCCATATACAAAAATTTAAAGCAATAAAATCTACTTACCTGTCTAAATTGGCAATTTTCAGTTTATGAAAAGAAATAAAATAGGCATGTTCTGAACATACATTTACAACAAGATAGCAGATATAGATATTAACAACTTAAAAGACTGAATACTTACGACATTGTGAGCTTCTAAGTACTTCCTTTTTATAACTAATCTGGTGCAAATCACTAGTCAAAATCGGAAACATAAAGATTGGTGACTGATAAGCACAATTATTATTACGGAATACATATCTAAAAATCATAATTCACTTCATAAGCAGTATGCATTATAAATTTTTTAGCACCCCTCCTCAGCATTACACAGTAATATGTTTCTGATGATGAACCAGCATCAGAAAGCCCTCAAGAAAAAAGAACATCTCAAATGTTTCTCCTAGAGAGCAATGAGACTAAATGAGGTGCAAATTGAGAATTTTGCTTTAATATCCTACGGCTTAAGAAGAGATCTCAACAATGTAACCAGCCATGTCTCATCAAAGTTTTTAAAGACCAAACTATCTGAGCTATGCTATACGCATTAATCTGATATCAGCAGTTATATCTCATGGGTAATTTTGTTAGTTTTAGAGCAATTAATTGCATTGTTTTTACAGTTAGCGGTGCCAAATAGTTCATACCTGTTCCTCCAAAGACCACGCCAAGGAAATGAGAGTGTGACAATGTCAGTGCACAAGAAAACCCAGGCAAATTTTATGAAATCTTTGGCCTCCTCTGAGTGGCTCACTAAAATAGACTGAAGCCTTTCACCCTGAGGCTCATTTTACTCAGCACCATCAAAACACAATTGCACACATTGTCCACTGCCAGTCACTCTTCATTTCCCATTGTTTGACCCTACAAGGCAGAAGAGGCTTTGCTCGGCCAGTAACCGTATGACCTCTACTGCAGCTCTGAAAACATCTACAGAGCCTAGTTAGCTTGAATGAATCAATAATGAAAGTCGAATAACTTCAGTCAACAGTTTAATATGGAACAACATGAAGATATGAAGGGTATGTGTTGTCTCGTCACGTTTTATACTCGTACAATCTTGTTTACATTTCCAGTAGGTTCCCAAAGGGTTTCCGTAGAGTGTGAGATACAAATAAAGGATAACATCGCTACATTGAATTTGGGTAAATATGCACACAGCATGTGGTAACTTAAAACCAGTTATGCACTTGCAAGGTACACAACCAAGTGCAGCAATGCATTTCAAGGACAGTATTTGTTTTACAAGGAAACTGCATGGTGACACAACACGTTTCTTTGTCGCATGGGGTCATTTAATTTTGGAATGCCATTACATTGAAATTTTTACTTCCAGTAGTGTAGAACGTATTACACAATATCTGACATCTTTTATTCCTGAACAGCACTATTTCACAACATTGCATACAATTCACTTCCAGTCTCATTATAGCTCTCATGCATATATTATGTATTTAACATTTCATATACAAAATATCAAATTTAGATTCAGATGTAGACACATTTGTATCGACTGTCCATAAATTGCAGTAAAGGACAGCTGGTAAAGACACGCTAAGTCCTAAGGTCACCTACAAAAACACTTAAACCTATGAACATTATAAACAGTTTTTGTGTGCTTAATTGACATTATTAGTCACAAGACATCATATTTGTATGTTTTAGATTTTCTTGCTTCAAACTGTGTATATTGGAAGCCTTCTCATCTTGGTACACATTTATTGCTACAGAGTCTGAGAAGTACAGCAACACAGGTTTTTTGTTGTTTTTTACAGCAACACAGGTAATAAATGTGTTGGATGTCAAGTGGCAAGTTTACTTTGTAACTTTTTTTTACTGTCCAGCATCAAACAGCTTCTTCCTGCCCTCCATTCCAGACATGGCCTCCACATTCTTACGCCAGTCAGTCACCTCTTCTTTCTATCAATGGGACAAATAGATAAAAATAGGTTTAGAATGAGCTTTGATTTATTTAAATGACAAATGAATGAAAATATAATGCCAAAAGACTAAAAAACAGAGATAGAATGCATTACCTTCTCATCTTCTTTCTTTACTGTCTTCAGGTTGGCTTTGAAATCTGACTTTGCTGACATTTTAAATTCAGTCAGCGCATCGAGCTTGGCATCATGTGACTTCTTAACCTTCTTCAGTTTGGTTCGTTGCTTTGTACCCTTCATTTCCCAAATCTTCTGGGTCAAGGACTGGATCTGAAATGGACCACAATGATGGTAACTTGTGAAACAATTGTTTGTCAGATGTCAGTTTTGCATTTTATTCATTTGAGAGCAGTGTTGTAAAAATAATAATAATAATAATAAATAAATAAATAATAAATTAGAGAAAAAATATTACATAAAAAACTAACTTAAACTTAAAAAGCTTAAATCTAAACTAGAAATGTTGCCTCCGCAACTAACTGAAATAAATAAGTTTAAGTGAAAAATGCTAAAATTACAAAAACTGAAATCAAAATAAATTAAAGATTATAATAATAATAATAATAATAATTGGCAAAAGAACATAAAATTACCAAAACTTAAACTAAAATTAAAACAAAAAACAAACAAACAAATATATAAAAATAAAAGCTAATTCAAAATACTGATAAATACTGTAAGAGTATATAAATAATACTAAATTATCACTGTTTGAAAGACAATTAATTATTTTCATGTTCCCTGCGATTAAAACCCATAACCCTATCATCGTTAATGTCACTAACAACAGTGAGGTTACGGGTTTGAATCCCAGTTCGAATACTAATGACATGCTTTATTTACTAGAACTGCGGGATCACTTGTTAACATATGTATTCATGAATAAACTACTACTTAATCTTTTGTTTGTCTTTCAAAAAGTGATGCATCAACACAAAACCATACCTCTTTTTCATTTTTAGCCACTTTCATTTCAAGATCATAACAAGCCTCATCAACGATATCAATCTTGCGGTGAAGCTCTTTGCATAGTTCCTGAAAAAAAAAACCATTAAAGACATTCTGTATATTTATTTCTGCATGTTGCTGGTGCAGAAATATTTATTCATGAAAATACCTGGAGCTCCTTTGCAGACAGACCAGATAGGTTGAGAGGAGGAACCCTCTCATTAAGAGCATCCTCCCTCTCTCTTTTGTTCTGCTCTATTTCAGCTGCCAGCATAGATGTGGCCGCCTTCAATAATTTGCTCTGTAATGTAACAGCACTGATGTGACTATAAAGTTCCAGCAGATTAGCACATAGTTTAGCATTGCATTGCACAGCACACTGCTAACACAGCCATCCTTTTCGTTGTGGATTCTAGTCTTGCCTTTCATTATTTTACAGAAATTTAATATGTGCATATGTTCACTACCACATCAGTATTACTTAAAAATTATAAACGGTTGAAAGTTTTGGTTATCAAAAATACAGTAAAAACAGTAATATTGTGAAATATTATTTGTTTTCTATTTTAATACTGTATATTTTAAAATGTAATTTATTCCTGTGATGCAAAGCTGAATTTTCAGCATCATTACTCCAGTCTTGAGTGTCACATGATCCTTCAGAAATCATTCTAATATGCTGATTTTCTGCTCAAGAAACATTTATTATCATTATCAGTGTCAAAACAGTTGTGCTGCTTAATATTTTATGCATCCTTGCTGAATAAAAGTATTAATTTCTTAACATTAATCATTTAATTTCTTTCAAGAAAAAACTTACTAACCCCTTACTAACTGACTAAACAGTAGTGTATTTTATTAAAAAACAAACAGACAACTTACTTTTAAGAGCAGCCGCCTTGTGGCAGTATACTTTGTTTGTTTCTGAAAAACAATACAAGTCATGTTTAATCTCTCCAAATTATTCTTGAATAATTTATGGATTATGGTATATCTTGCCAAAACTTACCGGTCTACAATGACGAAGCACAGAGCAAAGCGATAAGGAAAAAAAGAAACCCCAAAATAGATTATCGAATGAGATCAATAGATCCACTCTACAATTTTAATAATAAGGCTGTCAAAGTACTTACCCTTCAGACATGGTTATTTCTCTGTATGGACGCTGAAAAGGAAAATGTTTAAAGGGGTCATATGATGCGATTTCAATTTTTCCTTTTTCTTTGGAGTGTTACAAGCTCTTGGTGCATAAAGAAGATCTGTAAAGTTGCAAAGACTAAAGTCTCAAAGAGATAAAGAGATATCCAAAGAGATATTCTTTATAAAAGTTAAGAGTCAGCCACACCCTCCTAAAACGACTCGTTCTAACATGCCCCCACATGTCTACGTCATGATGTGGGAAGATTTGCATAACGCCACCCAAATGTTCACGCAAAGAAAGAAGGCGTAACTTTTATTCTCGCTGTAGTATTGTTGACGCTACAGCCATGTCGTGAAGACGCTGTGTGAAACTATTTTGTTTGGCCTTCCAAAAGAGGACGATATCTGCTTCGTCATGCCTGGAGCTGATCCGTATGGAAGCATATAGGTAGCGACATTCAATTTAAAATGCTATATGCAAAATGGCAATGCAATATGCAAAATGGCAATGCAATATTCAAAATGGCAACGCAATATTCAAAATGGCATTGTATTTCTGTATTTAAATTTACATTTTCCATTACCCATACGTGCAAAGTTTGGTGCAAAAGTAAAATGAAAATTAAATTATATAATTTACATTTGCCATTTCCAACAGTAGTCTTAATATGTAAATTGCATGCAAATTTTAACGCTTTATAAGTTGCAAAATGAAAATGAAAATGTGGAAAATAATGTGTTTTTTGAACCTTAAACCGCATAAACACATTTCATTACACCAAATACACTAAATAATGTTCTTTTTAGCAACATCATATGACCCCTTTAATAATTATTTTTAAAATGATTTAAAAACATATAAAGTGTTTAAAAGGACATCACATATGTGATCACATTATATGTTCCATTTTCCAACTTAGTCACAATAACAAAGGTGATGGATGGATGTCCATGTATGTGATCCTCAATGTCTTTTAGGTGATGATATCATTCAGTGTGGATGAATCTGTGCATCAGATTTGCGTTGCTAGGAAACATGCTTACCGTCCACACATAGAACATAGTCTGGAAAAGTGATGAGTGCCAAGTATTTGAAAGGTGGGCGAGTCCCATTGTACAGGAAAATTTCATTTTAAATTTAATGGCCCTTGTATACAAAGAAGACTGGCTCTAGAAGACTCTATCCATACCTATTCATTGCATTCGAACCTATTGTGCCTGATAAAGCACATGCTTGTTAGTGTTCCCAGCCTGGCTAAATTTGAACATTGCTGCCATCCTTTCATATGGCCCAGTTTCAAGCTCTAGCCTTGAACTCACTACACTGGATGCTAATGCTTTTTATACGGATCCTGGCCAGAACTCAAGTTTTGGAAAATATATTTTGAACGAAATGATCTGGGTATAGTGAGTCTTTTATGCTAATAAGAAAAAATGTTAAATGATGTTCACATTTTTATGCTTTTGATTTCCAACATACAATTCCTACTTAAAAATTTAGGAATGCAAATTTAGAAAGTACTCGTTCAAGAGTTCAATCAAAAACTAGCCACAAGTTCAGAGGTGTTTTCTTGTTCACTCGCCAGAGCAAATTATACGACAATTTTTTTTTTCTCCAATTTGAGTGCTTAAGTGCAAGACAAACCATCTGAGAACTCTTCATAGTCTAATTGGTTCTGCGAGCCAAATCTCTGGCTAAATCAAGAACGCTGGATCTTGTATCCACACTTCTCCATGTCTAAGCTAGCTATGAAACAGCTACAGTATTTCATAACATACATTCAACACAAAGTTGACACAAGTGGCTTGTTACAGAAATAAAGCCGTGTGGCGTTTGCTAATCCCTGCGGGGAGCCGCGGCCATGACACGGGAGACTGTAGGATGTATATGCATTCATCCTCCAACAGTGAAGGTGTGCTTATGATTATCTCTAAAGTCCAAATGTGTGCTGTAAATCTACAAGCGATAAACAGACTATACAGTACAAATCCCCTCAACAAATGTTTAGCAGTAAACTCAATATCCTTAAGTATGTATGACAGCATGTGTGGGTCCATTAAACTTGGTGCTGTGAATGTGATATCTTGTAGGACTTACCTTGAACTAGGAGGCAATCAGGACAAGACGAGTTGTGTGGTGGCGTCGAAGAAGAATAAATGTTATATGTTTTTCATGAAGGATTTATGGGTTGAATCCTGCTTGTGAATGGCTCACTAAAATAGACCCCCGTTACGTCTCTTGTACTCGCGTGTGCAAATATCTGGGCAATTTGTTCTCCACCTTCCTCAACGGAGTGTGTTTGTCATCCAGGACAGGGACATAAACATTTCCAAATGACACACACTAGTGCAAAGGTCATGCACTTGAGTTTGAGTTTATCTGACACAAAAAGTAGCAATACACTGTTACAACTTTCTTGTCAAGGATAACACAATAAAGTTGCATTAACTTATTTCCTTGCTTTAAAAAAAAAAAAAAGAAAGAAAATCCTAGTCAAAAAATCATAATAAAAAAATTCACTCACACCCATAAAAATAACAAACAGATCAAACAATTCCTTATACATTTAACTCATCTTTTAACTCATCTTATCATCTTACTTCAATTCTCTCTGTTATACTAATAAAGTAGCAACTTAACTAAAACTAAAACGATTAAAAAAACATTTTTGTTAATTGAAATAAAACTGAAATAAAATAAAATCTAAATATTCGATTACATTTTTTAAATTTTATTTCTTTTTTTGTTTTTGTTTTTGTTTAATGTTGCTTTGTCAACTAACTGAAACAAGTTTAAGTTGAAACAGTAAAGTTATTAACTAGAAATAAATAAAAATTTAAAGTGAACTAAAACTGAAATAAAAATAAATAAAATTTAAACAGTAAGATTTAAAAAGAAGGAAATAATTCAAATGGCAAAAGCACATAGCAAAATTACCAAAACTTAAAATAATAGGCCTATTACAATGAAAACTGACAAAAATTAAAATAAGCTAATTCAAAATATTAATAATACCTATAATAGTACATAAATAATACTAAAATAACACTTCCAGTAATGAACATTTTAAAGATTTATTTAGAGATTTGTTCATTTTGTTTTACCTGATAGAACAAACACTTCTGCATTAGGAAATAAATGTAATTGATAACACTTATAAGGTTTCACTTGTTAACATTAGTTAACTACATCAATTAACATGAACTAACAATGAAAAATTAACATTATTAAAATCAAAAGTATCAATTAATATTATTTAATGGACAGTTGTATTTTTATTAACCAATGTCAACAAAGATTAATAAATACTGTAACAATTATATTGCTCACTGTTAGTAAATGCATTAACCAATGTTATCTAATGGGACCTCATTGTAAAGTGTTTAATTTAATTTAATTTAATTTAATTTAATTTAATTTAATTTAATTGCACTGTAACTTTGTTAATTCACAATATAAGCTTATTTTGTTGACATATATGATTTGTTAACTCCACAATTGTAATAAAATGTTCTCCTCATAAATGCTAAAGTTAACTGGCCTTTTCATTAACTTGCGTGCTTGTGTTTGAGGACCATAAAAACAGAGTTCTTCAAGGCTATGGAGCCCGCGTGCCGTGTAAATGGGGTGAGGGCAGACAGCCATGTGTATTTGTTTAGAAGGGACTGACAGCACCGTCCTAAAAATCTGACAGATTTAATTATAATTTACACAAGGTCGTATAATTATAGTGCTCTTAAATCTCATTCTAGGCCACAAAAATCAACTTATTCACACATAATGGCAAAGTGCTCAATGACAATGTGACATGAAAGTATTTTTATGAGATTTTATTTAAGGGATACTGACCTTTGTATGCTGATATGTCATGTAGGCCCAGCATGCGATTAATTACAGCTTCCAGTGATGATATTGTGCTAGAGTTTTTACTGTGTGACAGAATGAGACAAGGGTTTTGCAAGAGCTTCTCAAATCCTCTGCTGACTGCTGGCATGTAGCAGTAGATATCAGTGTCAGCAGACCTCACAAAGTCATTTTAGTGTTTAAATGTGGAAGTTTGCTTGTTAGGGCGCTGTTCTCTTCTTTTAAAGTGTAATGAAAACTAGCATGATTCTGTGGGGAGTCTTGCAAAGATGGTAATGGTGTTACAATTCTGTGTGAAAATAAAGCTTACTAAGACACAACTGCTGTTTGCAGAGATAGAGAGAATAAATATATATTGCTTATACAATGATTCAAATTACCCTGTTAATTAATCTTTGAACTGACATGCACCCTCTAGTGGTAATGAATTGATTTTTATAAATTTTCTACAAATTGCTTAGACGCTAAAAGTGGTAGGCCTACTTGAGGCCCACTCAGTGAAACCATTCACTCATATACCTAAACTTTAGACCAAGTCTGCAAAACTACAAGCACATTACGTGCTTTAAACTCAGTTTGATATTGTAAAACAAACTTTTTGCAAAACTCTAAACACAAAACTCTCTACATTACACACATCATTCAAAACAAACAGTTCTTTTTGTTTCATTTGGGAAACTGCCATTTAAATGCCACACTTATTTACTGATGACCTACAGCCATGTTTTATGTCTGAAAACACTTATACATACATACAGTATATGTATGTATGATTTACTATGTGTGTGTATATAGTACACACACACACACACACACACACACACACACACACATATATATATATATATATATATATATTGAATATGCATACAAGCCAAGTCAGAAAGTCAACTTTATTTCTAAAGCACTTTATAAAATATAGATTGATTCACAGCAGCTTCACAATTAGTATCAAATTCAAATTCTGCTGTAAAGCAGCTCTAACAAATCAATAGTGTCATTATACAGCTCAAGTCAGTTCAGTATTGATTCAGTTCAGTTCAGTTGCATGTGTAAAATTCATCAGTTGTACATGCATACTGTATATACAGTGTATACGTGCATATGCATGTATGTGTGAGTGATATGACAAACTCCTGTGCACTCCACTGCACTCAAAAGACACACAAGAGTAGTGTTTTACATTTTTCACATCTGTGTGTAGTCTGGCGTGTATGTGGCTAATTATTTTATGTTTGTGTGTACAGTTACTACGCAAAAATAAAATTTTTAGAAGAGTTAAAATAGTTTTGAATGAAGTGTTTGCTTTCGCAAGATATGTGTGACGTTTTGCATGTTGTGTGTGTGTTTTGTGGTTTTGTGTTTTGAGAAATGGAGCCATATAGTTTAAAAAAACTGTGTAAGCATTTTTTAAAAACTGTATTTTATTTTATTGTTTTTGCCAGTATTTTGCTGTTGTCTTCACTTTCACTTCTTATCTTTACTGAATAGAAGATTAATACTATATGTGTGTGTGTGTGTGTGTGTGTGTGTGTGTGTGTATGGAGTTGTTTAAATGTCGAACTTTGCTTGTTAAAATTGTGAAGTATAACCTAAATTAATCTAGCTCTGTGTTTCACTGGTGGAAGTAGGTCAAGTAGGTCATCCTACAACAAGTAGGTCATCTCAAAACCAAATTGTTATTATAACTTTGAGTCTAATGTCCAACTTAGTATTAACAGTTTGACAAATGGCTGAGAACAGAAACTTTTTTAGTTGAATGTGTAGATACAGGATTTGATTTTAAGATAAACTTGAATAACAAAGAAAATGTTCGTGAGAAATCTTTATGTCTTTGTGTGCTTCAGGCTCTTCTCCTCCCCTTTATCAGAACTTCTGGTTTCCTCTAAATACAGATAGGATCTAAGAAAGCCGTGAGAGGATGTTCGATGATCTGTCACTGTCACTTAAAAAGCAGTGTATGTCTGTCGCAGTACCAGAGAAGATATTAAATACCATGAGTGCGATTTTTCTCTCTCTGTTGATGCTTTCATGCATCATAATGAAAATCTCACCCCTGCATCTCATTGAACTCCCTCCGATGGAATGTTCTCAAGAGGTAAAGATGCTGTTTATTCTCTTTAATCCAGTAACATTAATGTTATTCATATAAAAACTTAATTTTTCATTATGCTGTTTTCTGACAGGGAGTAGAATGCAGGGTTCAAGTAGGCAAGTATAAGTTGATGTCTTCTCTAAATTGACAGTAATATGAGGTTTTTAAAGACAGAATAAAAGATATCTGGTAACACTTTACTTGGAGGGGTGTGCATAAGACTGACATGACACCTTCATAATCATGACATGACACATGTCATGAATATGAAGGAGGTTTTATGCATGTTTATGACAACTGTCATTAAGTGTCATTCGCTCAGTTATGTCATTTTTAATGCAAATATGGCATTATTTGACCTAACCCTACCCCTACCCTTACCCCTAACCATAGCCCACAACAAAGACATCTCAAACAATGTCATCTTTGCATTAAAAATTACATAACTGAGCGAATGACACTTAATGACAGTTGTCATAAACATGCATAAAAAAGCCTTCATATTCATGACATGTGTCATGTCATGATTATGTAGGTGTCATGTCATGATTATGAAGGTGTCATGTCAGTCTTATGCACACCCCTTCAAGTAAAGTGTAACCAGATATCTTTGTCAAATATTTCTTTGACGGTCTTAGGTAACTGTTTAGATGAGGGTTGGGTGGTGCCAAGGTATGATGCCCCAGGGTTTCCTATTGTAACTGCGAAGGTAGCAGCCAAGAGGGATGACAGTGGACAGTTTGCACCTGTTCTATTTATTACATGGAGACAGTTACCTGACGGTAAGACGAGTATGATGACATATAGATGTGCACAAGACCATAATATTTAAAAATAACCAAATCATTTCAATCAAATTGCCTTTTTGACAGAACCTGTACAGATGGTCAGCATAATTATCTATTTAAAGGGGTCATATGATGCGATTTAAATTTTTCCTTTCTCTTTGGAGTGTTACAAGCTCTTGGTGCATAAAGAAGAACTGTAAAGTTGCAAAGACTAAAGTCTCAAATCCAAAGAGATATTCTTTATAAAAGTTCAAAGTCAGCCACGCCTACCTAAAACGGCTCGTTCTAACACGCCCCCACATATCTACCTCACTATGTGGGAAGATTTGCATAACGCCACCCAAATGTTCACGCAAAGAAAGAAGGCGTAACTTTTAGTCTCACTGTAGTTTTGTTGACGCTGCAGCCATGTCGTGGGGTATGTCCCCACTGGATGCAACAAATGCCTCGTTT